GACCTCTCTTTTCCTCCTCCGTCTTTTTTTCTGTCTCTCTGCCTCTCTGGGTTTAATAAGGCCAGCTGTAGAGTCTGGCTCTCCTGGGAAGCACAGTAGAGTGTGGCCCAGGCCGAGGCAGAACGAGACCCAAACTGGTGGTGGTGGGGGTGCAAGTTGGGGGGGCCAGCACTTCCGACCATTTTCCCCACGCAACACACTTAGCAGTCTGGAGCATTGGCAGGACGCCGCCACCTCTCTCTGCTCTCTCTCTCACTCCTTCCCTCCCACCTTCATTTCCTTCCTACTTTTCCTTCTCTCTCTCTCTCTCTCTCTGATAGTTTTCACCTTGGTCTCTCTCTCTCTCTCTCCTTCCCTCCTTGTTTTTCCTCCTTCTTCTACCTTCTTCCTTCGGTCCTCTCGGTGCTGACTAGCCTGGAAAGCAGACGATTACTTTAGGTAATGACCCTCTCCAGACGTCTGCTCGTTGGCACCACAACAACTCCAGAAACTCTTTCCTTTCCCTCCGCTTCTGTCACTTTTCAGAAACAACCGTCCAAGGACTAGGATAAATAGCCTAGCTCCTACGAGTCTCTCTCTCTCTCCCCCCTCCACCCCCCCTCCAGACGCCCGCTCTGTGGTATCGTATCAGGTCCAGACCTGCTTCCGAGTTTTGACAGGTCCCTGACCCGCACCCGGAGCAGTTCATCTGAGTTGGGAGTTGTGTAGGTGTGTGTGTTTATCTTGCAGTGTGTGTCTGCGTGAGCTCGGCCCTGGATTCGTTGGTGGGTGTTTTTCATCAGACTAATGAATAATAGGTCTGAGCTGAGAGAAGAGTATCAAGCGCGAGGAGAAGGGGAGGGGGAGGAGAAGGGGAGGGGTAATGACTATCAGATGGTGTTCTACTACTGTGCTGCTGCTGCCGCCACCACCACCACGGTCGCTGCTGCTGCTGCCGCCACCACCACCACGGTCACTGCTGCTGCTGCTGTCTTTACAGGAAACCAACACTGAAGTTAGAAATATTCACATTTGTAACCTTTATTTTGCACGACTCTCTGTCTCACAGTGGAGGGAAGTGTCCACAGAGCAGCATTCAACTGACAAACCTTGGCCCAAAGGTGACCGTCGGCTATTCAACGGACAAACCTTGGCCCAAAGGTGACCGTCTCACCATCCAACTAAGATTTACCACAATAAATTCTAGAAACCAGGGTGTGGTACCAACACAGGGAGGTGGAGGTGAAATCAAGTCAAAAAGGAACCTTGTTAAAAAAGGGTCTTGGCTTCATATGAATGAGGAAAATTTGGTTAAACAGAGACCAGTTTATCTCACCTACTACTCTGCTTCAAACTTTATATTCTGGCCCAATAATAATAATAATAACGTTACTGTCCAGATACTGTATTCACTGTACACTTCCTGATACTTTCACACATTACTAAATTACAAATTCTTAACAATATGACTGTTGCATGCATGTACGCAGGCCCTAACCTTTGACCTGTATTTGTATACCCCGTCCAAGGGACAATATTGGTATTCATTTTTATGTAGACAGATAGATAGAACTTTATTAATCTCTTGGGAATTCCCTTTCGAGAAATTTAGTACAGAGGTAAGTTAGTGCTGCAGAGCGACCAGAGGCTGCTGCCGTCAGCATCAGCGCCATCTTGGCCATAGCTGTCGTTGAATACCTGAATAGAATCTTGGTAAACTAAACTGTCCCCAGAGTGGAATCAACAAAGTTCAATCTAATCATCTGATCTGATATCGACAGCCTGACCCACAGACAGGTTTATATGTGATCTGGGTCAATGTGTGTGGGGGGGGGGGCGTTGCTGCTATCACCTGTCCATATGCACACAGCTGACTGTGGGTGTCATCAAACTAAAGAAGATTCTCAGATAAGGTATCCAACGTCAAGAAATCGGTGCACTCCAGTGGCCAACTTCAGAACTTCATTTGTAACAATGGAAATGTGTATAGAACTGACACTGACTCTTAGTTCTCTAACTTTTAAACAATACACGTGTATTTGTTAAAATTCTTCTTCATTACAGTTGATGAAACAGGAGCATATTTTCCCACTTTTTCATTTTCAGAACAGGTTTGTTCTGCTGTATCAAGAATTCAAACCCTGAAGTTCTAATAGAAAAATTTACAGCCGGAGCAAACATTTAGATCAGCAAAAATATCTGGAGGAAAATTCTGGCAGAAGGACTCGTCCCGACTGCCAACTTTGAAAAATAATAACAGCTTGTGTCTACAGTTTTTTTTTTATTTCACATTGTACTGTAAATCTGAAGTCTGAGTGTAATATAATTTAAAGTTTGAGCCGTGGTCGCATTAATCATACAACATATAACATGTACCTGACATCCTTCGCCTTCAACATGATTATTGAGAAAGCAGAGTTGCTCTTTGGCTATTACAGGTCGACGCTTCATGTAGTTTTATGTTAATGTGATCATTACAGAGGTGTAATGTTGCTACTTCCCCCTCATAGTACCCTCCACTACCAAACACAGCCATGTGTGATGATGAAAAGACTCACGATCCCACATCGCACTCAAACGGTTCTGAGCCGCGGGCAACAATTCACCAAGAAATGGATACGGTGTGAGAGCAGCCGCGCTCTCCTGAGACATGGAAATGAGAGGACGGTCATGCCAGTGCATGTAATCATTTCTCACAGTGAGTGGAGGTGGTCTGAAAATCCAACGCCATCGTTTGGTTTGACTATTAGGTAAATATACACACAGGCAGTCGAAACAGAGGCCTGCACTCATTAATCAGGATATCTGGGTGGAGATTTATTTAGGTTTCCCTAATTAGGTTCGTTACAGCGTGACAAATTTAAATATACTAAGTTTGAGCCCAACCATTGGTTGGATCAGCGTAGTGATTTTATCTTTTACCGCTTCGGAGAAAAACCTGTTTATACATCCATCCATCTTCTTCCGCTTGTACATTTCCAGGACGTGGGGCCATCAGTCTCCACGACCTCCACCCAAATCACAGTGCACCGTACCAGCCCCTGTGAACCTTACTGCGAGGTGTGAGACCACTAGAAGGCGCCAACCGCCCTAACTGGGATTTGATCTTG